TGTTATGACACCCTCTCTTTGAAGCATAATAGCTACACTGACAGGATCAGAGAGAGACTGAGAGAGGAGTGGATGATGAGTGTTGAATATATCAATAGCCTTAGCTTTACGTTCTATAGAATACACACACACAGTCAATACTAATACAATCAGTGATATTAACTTACTCTCTTGATCTAACTTGTCAGCTGCAGCATTCTCACTCATAAATTTAAGAGCATCTGACAGTGAGTCAAAGGTAGCTCCTCCTTTACTGTCAACATTATCAGCTCTGGACAACCATCTGGCAATGCACTCCATAAAACGATCTTCTAATTTTGAGTAGTTTTCTGCAATAGCGTCCAGTGAGTCCTTGAGTAGTCCTAGTGTCAGTCCTAGCTCCTTCCATCTCCTCTGAGGGAAACCACATCTCTTCAACAGATTAAGTACATCAATAAGTTGATCTAAAATCATATTCAATGATACATAGATAGTTAATGAACATTACCAATAGTCAAAGGAGAAGAGAAGAGACTCAGAGAAGAGGAACAAGAACTGGTTTTAGTTGCCATTGATTAAAGAACAAGTCAACCGGATGCAGACTTTGCAAAGCCCTGTTAAGGGAGGGGCTGGTATAGCTGGGTATTCTTGTTATTATTAATCCTCAATATGGCGGCGTTGAAACAGACAGCTTCTGAGCTTTTCATACTAACAGGGAAGAGAAAAAGTTGATGATGAAAATGATGAAGTTACTAGTGACAGCAAAATAACAGATGAGGTAGTTTAAATGTACCTGTACATGTTTACTAGTACATGAATTTTAGTCAAATTGTGAAATACATGTACGATATGTCCTGTACCCATACCTGTAGGGGCCCCATCAAAGTTTTTGTCCTGGGCCTCACATAGCCTATTGGCAGCCCTGCCTGTAACAAAAAATTATGGACTAAACTCCATGCTTTTTTTCAGAAAAATGTCTTCGAAATTATTCCCAATTTTTATTACATTTAAAAAGTTGAAGCTGATTCCAACTGAAATTTTTGAGCCATGTCCATTTAAACAAATGAACCAATTAATTGGGCGAAGCCCACTAGTTCGAGTAGAGTATGTTTGTTTGTTTGTACACGTACGTCACCCCTATTTATCCGTATGAAAAATTTTCCTATTTTAATAACCTAATCTTAATCTTCTTTGAAAACGGGTGTGGTCACAGTGAAATAAAATGGCGCCAGCTATCAAATCTTCATTGTTCTCAGTTCATGTTCTTGACCTTACAAGTTACAAGTCACTCACTTGAGTCAGCAAGAATGAAAGAGAAGTCTCTACTACTTTCCAAATACAGCAAGGAAGATTAAGAAGGCAGATATGCCACAGTTGTGAGCTTGTAAAGCCTCCACAACTACTGACATAACCTATGACTGCAGTTACTGTCTCTGGCTTCCAACACAACTTTTTTGCTGCAGAATGTGATAAACTGATAACGAAAATTTGTATTTCCAAGCATGATGACTTCATTACAAACTACTGTATTTACTCATGTACATGTACAATAATGTAGCTCTATACCATATAACCTTTAAAATATAGCGTGGCTAGTGGGCTGAGCCCCTTAATGTTTTACATTCGTCTAGTATTATTACATTTCATTGTTTTTATTGTATTTTAGGAGTTTAACGAGAGCTTTGCTGATAATCATTGAATTGTGAAATTTACATCAAAAGTAAATATACATATGTACATGTACATGTAATTCTTCATCTCCATGTCTCTCACTATTTAGAGTGTTGATAGAAAATATGTGTTTCATTTACCCGACACATTCCCAGAGACTCAAAGTATCTTGAGGTACGTTATTCTGCTTGTCATCCTGTCCCTCCCCCACCTCCTCTGGTCTCTCGTACAGCTGTGTGTTTGGTACCAATACAACAAGGTTAGGACACACAGTCAGTGTATGTACATGTACATGTTTGTCCTTTTATGTTTTGCCAAAGTTTAGCAACTTAAAAAATTCTTAAAAAATTTAATTTTAATCGGAATTTGCTCAAACTTTCTACACAACATGCTTATCAGGAAAAATTATAAAATTTGAAGAATTCTTGTCGTAATTTGAAGTTACAACAAACTAAGGAAACAACTTGAAACAAAAATACACGAAATGGAAGAGGAGAAAGGAGGAGAGAGGAGGAGGAGCTGAAGATTTGAACTTATTGAATGCTAAACTTGAAGCAGATAAAGCTAAGGTAGTTATTAATAGTTATTAATTATTAGTTAATTAATTATTGATAGCTTGAGCATAAAGTGATTGAGTTGATGGCAGAAAGACAATTATTGGGAGATTCTATTTCTGTTCCAAAGTAAGTTTTATATTAATGTTATGTATTTTAAAGTTATGGCCATTTGAATAAATAATTCTGAAAAATGTACCCTGTACTATAGCCCATAGTTTTTTTCCAAAAACGGCTCCAAAATCAACCCAAGTTTTTACTACATTTTCTGATACATATTGATGTCCTTATGCTGTGTAAAAACTAGAAAGTTTGAGGTGATTCCAACTTCAATTTTTCAAGTTATGGCCAATTTGATAAAATGCCAAAATTCCCAAGGCTATAGCCCATGTTTTTTTTTTGGAAAAATGGTTCCAACATCAACCCAAATTTTTATTACATTTTCTGATGCATATTGATGTACTTATGCTGTGTAGAAAGTTTGAGCTGATTCTGACTTCAATTTTTAAAGTTACGGCCATTTTAATAAAATCTCAAAATTTTAAAAAATACCCAAGGCTATATATAGCCGATGGTTTTTTTCCGAAAAATGGTCCCAAAATCAACCCAAATTTTTATTACATTTTCTGATGCATATTGATGTACTTATGCTATGTAGAAAGTTTGAGCTGATTCCGAACTTCAATTTTTCAAGTTGTGACCATTTTAAGAAAATGCCAAAATTCTGAAAAATACCCAAGGCTATAGCCCATGGTTTATCCCGAAAAATGGCTGCAAAATCAACCCAAATTTTTATTACATTTTCTGATACATATTGATGTCCTTATGCTGTGTAGCAAGTTTGAGCTGATTCCAACTTCAATTTTTCGAGTTATGGCCATTTTGTAAAATTTGTCACTTTTTCTGAAAAATACCCAAGGCTATAGCCAATATTACAACCCCTTACTGGGGAATCTCTTCGCCTACGGACTGCCTCATCTGATGATGGAGCTAGACTGGATGTCTCAGCTGATGGCTTTTGGGGACTTTTGTATCAAAGGGTCTTCTTTGATGTAAGAGTCTTTTGTCCACTCTCCTCCACCAATGCATCAAGATCTCTGTCAGCTTGCTACAAGGATAACAAAGAGAAAAAGAAACGAAAGTATGATTAACGGATTAGAGAGGTGGAGCATTCTACCTTTTCCCCTCTGGTTTTTTCATCGTCCGGTGTCTGTGGACCAGTTGCTACACAGTTCATCAAATGACTCTCCTTACTCCACGCAGAGAAATCCCAGCATCAATACAGCACCACCATCAATTTCATACGGTGCCGGTATTCATTTTCAATCATACGCTCTGCTATAAGGTGTCTTCTGGGGTGTTGGTCTCGATACAGACACATGTCCATTGACTCTTGTGACTTTAGTCGAGCAGCATCTGAGGCTCATCTCAGTGTTGCACACTAAATTTATTTTATTTTATTAATTTACTTATTTATTTATTTATTTTTCCTAACCTAACCTAACCTATTTTATTTTATTTTTATTTTCTTTCTAACTTAATTAATTTTGTCCCCTACTCGTGTTGTTTTCTTTTTCTAATAAAAATTATTTCTCAAGGCTAAAAAAAAAAAAGGCTATAGCCCATGGTTTTTCCAAAAAATGGCTCCGAAATCAACCCAAATTTTTATTACATTTTCTGATACATACTGTATTGATGTCCTTATGCTGTGTAGCAAGTTTGAGCTGATTCCGACTTCAATTTTTCAAGTTACGGCCATTTTAAAAAATTCCAAATTTATTAATGTTCATGCCACAAAGAGTTATACTTTTGTTAGTACAATTTTTAAGCATAATACATGCAGTATATGTACATGTATGTTTATTTATTAATTTATTTTTATTTATTTTTCCAGTTGATTGGTCCTTTGGGTCCTAAGGAGTCATTCATTTTTGATGATTTGGAAGCTCTTTATAATTTTGAGATCAGTTCCCATGCTCAGACTGTATCAAATGCTATCGATTCAGTTGATTTGATTCTCCCTGATTCTGATTCTGATACCACTGAATATTGTAGTGATCTGGTCATGAGATTAGCCTCATTGTTACGGAGTCAGACTAAAGCAAGATGATTAGAATTGGATGGTTTTAAGAAAGAGCACAGGTACACTGTACATGTACATGTACCATATAGTGGGTATCGTATACATGTACATGTACATGTACATGTATCTTCAAATAAAAGCAGAGGGTGCAAATAAGTGCTGGGTAGCAATAAAATTAAACTATAAATACGCAAACAAGACTTAGACCTTAAAATAGCATATTTTTATTGTAGATAGTTCCTTTGGCTTTCTGAAGCCATGCATGGTTTAAATCTCACTGTTGGCCCAAGTTTTATTTTTTCCTGAATTTTTTGAGGTCCGAATGCCATTGAAGAAATAGTTGCCCGGGCTTTTATTTGAGGAACATGTTAATTTTGAGGGGAAAACTGACGAATTTGGTTTTTACTTAAAATCTGCCATTTAGTACCATTATGCGCATGCTCAATGGCACATGGATCTGATTTACAGTTTTAAACCCACAAATCACTACTTGAAAACTTTAGCAATTAACCAAAATTTATTATATTTTCTCCCTCCCTCTCTCTCTCC